CCTCAGGAACCCTCCGCCTTGCCTCTCGGCCTCCTGGCCTCTCCTCTGTGTCCGGGCATGTGTCGCATGCTTCTCCTTGCCTCTGCCAGCCCGTTCCAAGCCCCTCACCCAGGGCCTGAGGAGGGCACCATCAGCGGCGGTCGGCATTTTGGAAGGCATAGACATGTGCCACCCCCCTTCCGAGCACGCCTCTGAGCTGGGCGTGCCCTGGGCGTGGGGATTCCCAGGCAGAGAGACCCTGGTCCCGCCGTCTGGGGCTCAGAGGCGGAGGCCCGAAGCAAGCACGCCCAGACCTGCCTGGGCCCCGACGGGCTCGCTGCTGACTCTCCTCCCGTGAACGGGAAGCCCGGCATCCCCGAATGCCAGGCGGCCCGGCAGGGAGCTGGGGGACGTCCTTGCCGTGTCCTCGGCCAGCCCCAGCAAGATGCATGAGGCAGCCTGGCGTGGACACGGTGGTCGCAGCTGGTCGGGCAGCCCCGACTTCCGGCCCACGTTCGGCCACTCTGCTGGGTGCTTGGCCGGTCACCGGCCTCTGAGTCTGCTCACCTGGGAAGGGGCCTTCGTAAGCTGTAACCTTCGGGGCCTGAGACCGCAGGCGTGAAGCCCCCAGCCAGGTCACATCCACACCAGCAGTCCCGCCCTTCCCCGGGTTCCCTACCTGAAGGCATTCTGCGGACTCCCCCACAGCCAGCTCCCGTGTCCCCGCCTCCATGAAGGCCTCCTTCCTGTCTTCTGCCTGGGTGGAAGGGATGTGTGCCCGCTAAGCCTCTTCGGCTGCAGGAGCCAGACAAGCCTAAGCTTGGTCAGAGAAGTTCCAGGCAAGGCTCCTCCAGGGATTCTCGAGGCTCCTCTGCCTCCCCGTCTTTTTCCGCCCTGTCTCTCCTTGCACACGGGCCTCGTCCTCTCTGCAGATGGCGTCGTCCTCACTGCTGGGATGACCGTCCCAAGCCGCTCCCTTTTGCCTATACTCCCTCCAACCCCCCCAGGCAAAACTCTCATGGGAGGATCCGATTGGCTCTGCCTGAGCCAATCAGCATGACCATGACGATTGCATGCCACAGCTGGCAGGCTAGGGGGTGGGCAGAGCACGGTGGTCGACAGCCCATGGGGACAGGACGGGCGGGAACCTTTCTCCGAAGGAAGAGGCGGGCGGGGCCGACAGCCGTCCGCCCGGGATCCCCCACGTGAATGCAGAAGTGAGGCCGGGAGAGGTGAGGCGACTTGCCTGGAGGTGAGCCCGGCGGCCGCCCTCGTCCTCACTGAGGGAACCTTCTGGAATTCAAGAGAACAATATGCACGCGAGGCGGGGGCTCCCTTTCCTGGCTTTGCTGGCGCGGTGCCGGGCCCGGTGCTCTGTGGCGGGAGAGACCCCTGCCCTCCCCCAAGCACGCATGAGCGGAACCCGCCAGCGCAGCAGGACGATTGGTGCCTGGTGGCGGGGCCGGGGGCGCAGGGACCGTGTCCCGGAAGAGACAGCCCTCAAGATGCAAGACGTCTGCAGGAATCTGCCCAGAGGGTGGAAGGGCATTCTGGCCGAGGGAACGGCATGTCAGAGGGCTCTGAGCAAGGGAGAGCGGCTGAGGGGGGGTGAAGGGAGGTGACAGGGCAGCAGGTCCCCCTGGGCCTCCCCAGGGGGTTGTCGTGGGAGAGTCCAGCACGGGGGACACCAGGCGGGGGCCGAAGCAGGGAGAGCAGGCGCCTGCAGCCACACGGGG